CCCCCCCCCCCCTTTTTCATGTGAACTGGGGAGGTGCTCGTCTGAGGCGCTTTCTCAGGCTACTTTCTCAGTCAGGGCTCAAGCCCCTTTTATCTGACCATTGCTTCGGTAGCGGCTTTTCTCCTGTCCTTCAAGGCCATTCCCTCTGTCCTGTACGGTTATTTGAGAAATGTCCGATGGGACAGGAATGCCTACATAGTGAATAAATTCAGTATATAATGAAAATAAAAATCATTTATGGTGTGAATAAAGAAAGATTTGCCTACTGGCATCAATACAGAATATTCTGCAATTTGGCCAAAGGACTTAATCGAGTATAACGAAACTGGAATCAAACTTTGAGATTCAGAAATGCATGATAAAATATCACTTGTATATAATTCCACTCTATTTTCTAATGACTTATGTTAAAAAAAACAACCCTTGGATATTACAGTCTTGTTCAGTAGCACAACCGGAGGTTTCTACGCAAATATCAAAAATCAGAGGGAAAAGTGAGCATCCTGTCTAGTACCTTTACAGAGTGAAAAGTCGATGAAACAAGACGATTAACCTTCACTTCGGATTTGGGGGCCTCATAGAGAATCTGGACTTGCTTTATAAATTATAAATTTATAAATCATGGTGTTATTCATATATTGTCTGTAAATGTTATCAAAAGATTTTTCTGCTTCAAGTGATAGAATAGCAGCTTTATTGTCTCTGATTTTATCCAGATCAGTCACACCTACTACCAGCCGAGTATTATCTGATCTGTGTTTGCCCTTAATAAATCCCTCTAGATTCTTCTTAACCACCGAAGACATTGCTTGTTGAAACAGCAGATAACATTTTAATATTTACGTTGATCAGAGAAAGAGGACAATAATTAGCACATGATCTTTACCAGGTTTTAGAATAACTGTAATCATGAAGTATTTCAACAAATGCTTTACACCGTTCCATGGGAAATCCATCCAGTCCTGGAGCTTTACCATTACCCATATCCAAGATCACCTTTTTGATCTCACCCATGGCCAGTGACGCGCCTAGCGGTGTTGCAAAGGACTAATTGTGGAAGGCCAGTTTTAGCTAAAAAAGCCTCTCTAGCTTTATCAGATAACTTCTCAGATCTAGCGTATAAATCTGAGTAAAATTTAAAAAACTGAAAGTTTAAGAGAACTATATAACTTATCATCCCCCTCTTGTAATGATGCTTTTCTTCTTTTCATTTAAGCTCCTTGCCAGGATCATTCCAGCTCTTTCTCCATTTTCCCAGTATATTTAATGTTAAGCATGTTAACGTCAACTCAGTTTGCTGTGCAAGGGTTACAATTAGTTCATTGCGTCTCCCTATAGAGCCTGGTAGCAGGACATCTGGCCACACGTGCCCAAAGAGATTCCAATTTATTTTTTCGGATTAGTCCTGTATGCCCTTTCCAGTTTCTTCTTCCATGATGTACACGTGATAACGCATGGGAGCTGAATAAGCCTTCTGTCAGAGGCGAGAAACCGGGTGCCCCGGCATTGATTTGCTAGCCGAAGGAAGAGGTGAATTCGGTAGTCGCCACGCCTCTGCAGCACGTGGCTGGGAGGGGGCCCTGCTGGAGTTAGCTCGGGGCTCGTGTTCTGGCTGCTTGTTCTCCAAAACCCTGCCTCGCCCAGTCGACCAGCCAGCCGGGAATGCCGCGGGTGTTCTTGGAAATGGGCCGGCCACAGCACATGTGACCATCCTGTGAGCCAGTTCAAATTTCTCATTGCTTGTAACAGTGGAAGGTAGAAAAGCTTCATTTTCTCTGAGAGTTTAACTTTTACAGCTGGACAGCTCTGTAAACGGCAGGCAGCCAAAGCAAATAAGCAGATCTTCGGATCCTCCCCGATTCTCCCGCCAGATGTGCCGTGAAGGGGCTGGAATCGGCCACAGGCGGTGAACTTCGATGGCTCTGGGTTCAGCGATTACCTAGTCCCCTGTCTGCCAAATATGCTTCTGAGGTCGAGCTGTCTGAGCTCTTGTTTTGTCTGTAGCTGAACTACATTCCTGTCAATCAAACGCTTCAGGTACACTTAGCTGGCCACTGATTGGCCAAAGCCCTAATACGAATTAGGTAATTAGCTGACAGTCTCTCATGGGTAGCAGAACTTCAGTTTTTGGATCCTCTTCACCCTCTGCGAATTTCTGCGTTGGGTACATACGATCCCACGCTGTGTACTCCTTCTTCCCTTTCAGGGACCGTCCATCACCCAGGGACCTCCAACTCATCAAGGGTCTTCCACCCGCAGAAGCTCCCTGGGTGACTCTGGTCCTATCCATGTCTCTCAGCCCCAGAGTCCCTGAGGTCCAGGGGTGCTGGATTAGGAGTGGGGAGGCCTGGATTCTAGTTCTGCCTTCCCAGTCCCTCTCTCTCAGCCCTAGACTGGGAAGTCAAAAACATCTGTCTACCAACCTGCGTTGGACCGTGCTAGATGGTCCATAACTTTCAGTGAAAAGCTCTTCATCCTGGAGGGGATTGATTATATGCACAATGTGTGTGTGCGTGCGTGCGTGGGTATGCGTAGGTGTGCATCTACAGCAGTGCGCCACAGTTGATGCACCAAATGTTTGCTGAGAGAGATACCACCAAGGCTGATCAAGAGAGCAACCATCAGCAACGGCCACAAGACAAACACAAGCAGATCTTGGGCAGATGGCTGCTTAGTGGACCTCTTGCAAGAGATTTAGTGGGCTCGCTAACTGGAAGATATGTGCAATCAAAACGCAGGACGCGAAGGCAAAACAATCAAGGCTTCCCTGCAGTGTTTATTAGGCAGTAGGCACTGGAGGGGGACCCAGCAGGGGTTAGTGGGAGACACTCCCCTGCAGGCAAAAGGGACGCCCTGATATTTACACAGTTCTACAAGAAGGGGAAGGGGAAAGAACGCACACGCGTACATGTTCCTATGATGACGCAGGCAGACCTAAGTGACAAGACTTCTCAAGGTACCTTCTGCCCCTGTTCTTCTCTGCTGTCTACACGGACAGGACAACTGCTATCTACAAGGAAAGCAACAGCGTCAGAGGGGAGGAAGCAAACTGTTCAGGGTGCCAACTGCCAGGAAGAAGGCCTCTTCCCTTACGCTGCTAGGGGGATGTTCGTGATAAGGAGTTTACACCAGCCTGGTTCACACCAGCTTCAAGGGTGCTGCACGTTCCTTTATGTTTCAGTTTTACGAAGGCGATCCCGTTCATCCGAGGCCTCTAAACACTTGCTTCTTTCGCCCAGGGATGTCTTTTCCTCACGGATAACGCACGAGATACGGCCAACGCATACTAATCTCACGGCATCATTCGTAACGCGGAGAAGTCAAAAACGGGAGAGAGCGAGCTCCTTGCCGTTGGAAGGAGGGCCTTTGTCCCCCGCTGCCAAGCCTGTGCCGTTGCCTTTGGAGAGCTCCACTCTCTCCTTCTAGCGGGACCCCCCTCCCAATTCGCACCTGTAAAATCGTAGACTTTGTCTTGCGGCAAGAGCTGTGGAGCTTCTCTGCAAATAAGACTGGTGCTCCTTACGCTTTTTGTTTCAGTCAGAAGGGAGAGGTTTATCTTTTACTGCGTATTTACTGCAAACATTTACCGTTTTGGATTGGTCGGAGCTCTTCCATAAACAAGCTACTATTTCAGGCCTTTGTGAACTCCTCGGGCCTCAGAGTCAGCCCGTCAGCAGCCAGAGTCGGCGTCTGACATTCCCGTGTTGGAGCATTCAGTTAATTCAGTTAACGTCTCTTTCCACCCGAAGACAAAGCCACATCCGATTACGGGGTGGTGGGTGTTATTTCCTCCGCAGTAGACTGTGGGAAGCTGAGGCTGCTGCCTCACACCCTTCACCTACCTGAAGGCGGCGACTCTTTCACACGATCCAGAAGTCATTTCACGGGAGCCTGCCAACGTGAAGCCCTTGAGATGGAGCATTCGGAGCACTCGTACCCGGATCTCCCCGGTCCTCACTCCGTAAATGACTGGGTTGAGCATCGGGGGCAGAATGACATAGAGGTTGGCAACGAGGATGTGGGCAAAGTGGGGAATGTTGTGTCCAAAGCGGTGGGTGAGGAAGGAGAAGAAGGCCGGGGTGTAGAAGACAAAAATTACAGCAACGTGGGAGCCACAGGTGCCCAAGGACTTGAGCTGGGCCTCTTTGGAGGAGAGCCGAAAAACAGCCTGCAGGATCTTCATGTAGGAAATGGCAATCAGGATCAAGTCCAATACAAGAAAGGAAGCAACGAAAAGGCCATAGATAGCATTGATCCGGATGTCTGCGCAGGCCAGCTTGGCAATGCCCATGTGCTCACAATAGGTGTGGGCCATGTTGATGTGGGCTCTGCAGAAAGGCAGGCGTTTTGTCATAACCAAAATTGGCAACATAAGAATGGCAGGCTTTAGGATTATGCCCAGGGATATCCAGATTATTTGGTCTTGTGTCAGGATAGTGGAATACCTCAGAGGGTCACAGATGGCCACGTACCTGTCGAAGGCCATGGCCAGCAATACCGCAGACTCCATCCCTGTGAAAGTGTGGATGAAGAACATCTGGGCCAGGCAGGAATCAAAAGTGGTCTCCCCCAGGCCAAACCAGAAAATGGCCAGCATCTTGGGCAGGGTGGTCATGGAGAGACCCAGGTCTATGAAGGAGAGCAGGCAGAGGAAGTAGAACATGGGCTGGTGGAGGCTGGCTTCCGTCTTCACAACGAAGAGGATGGTGACGTTCCCCAGAAGAGCAACGAGGAACCCAGCACAGAAAGGGATGGAGAGCCATCCATGTACCTCCTCCAGCCCTGGGACACCCAGCAGGACAAACATGGGAGTGTAGAAATGGGTGCTGTTGGGGAGCCACATCCTTTCACAGGTGGGTTGCTAGGTGTTGTTCCCTCCTACAATCCATTTCATCTCTGCCTACAACAGCTACACAGTCACTGACCATTCAGTAAATCACACTGTCTTGGCTGGTCAAGAAATCCTGGTCTTCACTGAGTATTGCTACACAGATGCACACTGGACAAAGAATTGCTGGGTAGGGGCTTGCAGGCACGTCCAGGCAGAGAAGCAAGAGACAGCTAGGAGGCTTAGCTCCGGCCTTCGAGAGAGGGTGGCATTTATGCCATCTCCTTAAAAAGCTCAGAAATCCCTCCCACCCTGGCTGGAGTCTCAAAGGTGTGGAGACTAATTCCTGGGTGGCTGTTCTTTGTCCCAAATGGGCTCCGACCATCTGGAGAGGTTTCTATCAGGAGCTGGTAGCCTTTCTTCCAGACAAACAACGTAGGGAGTGTCCTACAGGTTTCCTTCCAGCCTCCTCAACACACACTGAACCAAACTGAGTGAACGGAGTGTTCGTGGAGGGCATATTGAGTCCCTACACCCAGTCGCGTAACCATGGTTAAGACTGACCCAGCTTAATGTGTGTGCAAGTACATTTTCTGGGTCTTTCTTCGCTCCCTCCTTCCTGCAGCCTCCCATTCTGGTCAAGTACAAACGTTTTAAAGCAACAGAAAAAAGCCCCAGATAATCAACCGATCACAGCCCCACCCATCAATCACCATCAAATAGCTTGGAATGAGAATCATCCCTCCCCAGGAGCTCCCCCAAAGAGCCAGGATTTAACTGCTTTACAGAAACCTCACAGGAAGGGCTGGCCCTGCAACTGGGGGAAGGCTGCTGCTTTACCTGTTGGGTGAAGACAAGTCATAAGTATTTTCTTCTCCTTAACTTTTTTCCTTAAGATTTGTGGCTATTTGCAAACGTCAAGGTTACCTTCTTGAGATGGGACAATTAACTGAAAGCACCTGGGCTGCCTTGCACAGGGCACACTTGTCTTGTCTTACATGCACAAATGTTACTAATGGAAAGCATGCATGGGCCATGAAGGCTGATTCCCAAGAGAGGAGTGGTGGGAAAGTCAGTGGC